CTCTGATGTGATAGTGTGCAGGCTGCAGGCGAGCACACTATTAAGCAAAAATTACGCCTTCAGTGCATTTCTTGGCAAATTTATCTTTTGCTTAACTTCATATTCACTTGTCAGCTAGAAGTGTATGTCTTGAGCCATCAATATCACATAACCATGAATGGCCAGCAGGTCGACTGGAAATTGAAACAGATAAAAGTATTAAGTTTGAATACATTGACAGCTTACAATGTACATTGTATATATAAGCAGATGGTATTTTGAGTTCCAGTCTCTTTCATTTATTTGCACAGATTCTAACAAATGTCTTGTTAAAATCACATCAGTGGATTCTTTTTAATATACTTTCAATAAAAGTTGGAATATCCAGAATTGTCCGAACCTGGAATGAGACGTTTAGCTTTTAGCTTTAGTTTGCGATTACAAAGAAAGAAACATAATTCAGAGCAGGGTTATTATATTATCGTTGAAGTGAGGTGTAAACAAATTGTAATGTTGTAATCATTTTTGCCCTAATGGTAATATTTAGGATTACCAGGTAAATCCTGATCTAGTATGTATGTTGTAAAGTTTGAATGTAAACAGACCTCGTATGGCTCAAGAAAAATATTTCCAAAACAAAATGGCTACCAGTTTAGTCAGATTCACAACACAAGGTCCCAAAACGTTCTATGTGTGTACCAAGTTTGAACAAAATCTGTTTCCAAATCATGAAAATGCATTTGTAGATCTAAAATAGCTTTTATAATAACTCGATGCTTGACTTGTTGAATGCTGATGTGCTATCAAACACAGAGGCAAGTAGAATGAAACAAAATACATGTAAAATTTGAGCATTTAAATTAATCTACTTTAAATCACATTAATTTAATTTTGTTGGTGAATATTTTCAAATCTCAAAATTAAACAAGAAGTTAGTGGCAAGTGCAGTGTAGAAACAGACAAGATGAAACAAGTATTGCTGTGATGAGAATAAATTCAATTGATCATTGGATGTACTGATGGTACAGGGAGTGGAACAAATATTTTTTTATGTAAATTATGTTACACATAAAGAGATAAAAAAGTGGAATTGTAAAAACTAAATTTGAGTTTATTCGTGACTAATATCAGACATAACATATATTGTGAGAAGCAGTATTACTATTTTTGAGCGCACAGGTATATATTTAATGACTAACATCGCATCACTACACTATATAGTGGGCATTCAGGTGGTTGTATAATTGGAACCAGTTGATAATCCATGAACCATTATTTGACTGTATTAAATACTCTTTTAACTTCCCTCTAAGAAGATTAGAGTCGTTTTCCTCTCTTAATTCTATCTAATGTGCTGATAGTTTGACTTTCACAGCACCTCTCCTAAACACAGTGAATGTGTTCATAAAAAAAGAGAAATTATGGAGCAAATGGAAGCAAAGATAGACACAGGGTTAGATCGGTAAGTAATGACACTACCATGTCCCACCAGATTCAGAGCTTTTAAATTAAATGCCTTCAGCATCAAAAGCATTTTTTATGTGTATACCAGTAATGCATACATATATATAAAAAAAACTACTAATCGAAATAATATTGCCTTAAGGGAATGGAAAGAAAGATTATCTTTTGTGTTGCTTCTAAAAAAGTTCTACCTTTTCTGTTATTATATACATGTATTGATATATATAATGATATGCTGACAAAGGCAGGTTTTATATTCTTTTTCAATGGTTCATCCCTATCTTTCTGATTTTTTTTTAGGTCACTGGCAGTTACCATGGGATACGTCAAGCATATTTTGGCTTCAGAACAAAAGAAGACAGATTTTAGGCCTGAGACTGAGAATCTGGGTCAAATGGCATTATACACACCAGTATGTTGAGTTCTTGAAACTAGACATTTTAAATTAATGTTAATTAAATCCATATTGTGCCATGATTTGTAATCACCATAAATTATCTCATTAATAACAGCTAGTTGTTATTAGTCACATATGTAAGTCACATGTAGCATTCTACTTCATTATCAGCATAGTGACAATGCAAATGGAACGGAAGATGTTGTGAACTTAATTCCGGGCCTGAGTGTTTACTGGGCAATATTAATCAGTACAGTCTACCCTGCCTTCCAAACATCCAGTATTATATTTCGAAGATTTGTTTTGTATTTTTGCCTACAGTGAGCTAGAATAATAAGAAACACCTGGAGATACAACATATATAAAGTGACTTTGATGTCTAGAAATGTCATCTGGCACAAATCTTCTATCTACCTGAGGTTCATACATGTTGATATGTGCTGTTCCGAGTGAACTCTTCATATCCACCAATCAAACACCCTACTAGAACCTGCAGACACTTGCAGAAGCATTGCTGTGATCTACCAATTTTGAAATATAATATGCTTTCGTCATTGGAATAAGTGTGCGAGACAGAACACTGTACAATGCAATTTTGAGCAATAATAATCATGGTGCTGTAGAAATATTCGTGATGGCACTTGACACCAATTATTACTATAACACTGTGACTATAAAGAAATCAACAATCCCAGAGGACCAATTAATATGTGTTTTGCAATGAATCAACTGTCTGTGCATGTTTTGAGTCTGTGTCAACAGAATTGTGTCACCAGTGATAATAACTTGTCATTTTCAAACCTGGCTTTACCTGATTTTGCTTCTTTGTCTGAAAGTTACATGAGACGAAATTCATCAGGAAAA